GGGGGGGGGGGGGGGGGGGGGGGGGGGGGGGGGGGGGGGTACGGCAGCCCATACATACCAATGACATTGATCCCTGAGCAGGGCCTGTAAGAATGCTGAGGCGGCCATATGCACATTTTCTATTCTGGTAAGAAAAGTTTCAACATCAAGTCGTCTCAGGGCTGTTTTGATGAGCTGGGCGGTATTTCGGATGAGTGGCCCATTTCTGTGTCCTTCAGTTTTAAAACAGCAGCAGAGCAGGCTGGGGACCAGAGAAAGGGTCCTTTATTGTGTTGTGTAGCAGTGATCCAAAAAAGGACCCTTTGCTGTTCCCAGGACATCCCCCAAGGACCCCTGGGTGCAATGTTCTACCAGTCCTTGAATCACAATGCGCCCTGGCTCTCGCTGCAAGGACCCGCAGGCTTGAAACACTTTCATGTACGGCCTTACATGTGTGTGAGCAGTTATTATTATTTCATCACATTGAATTATCCATTTTCTACTTGATGCAATATTTAGCACACACGCACTTTGTTACCAATGTTTATTTTACTGCATACAAACGCTTTCCAGAATAATCAGGATTAGTCTTTTTTTACATGGAGAAAGAAGCGGTATTTAGTTGCTGTTGCAATACTTGCAGAGGGAGGTAATTATGCCGACTCTGCTTTTGTGTACTTTTTGAGAGTATTTCAAGTATTTATTTTTCTTTCTCATTAGAAATCAGACTTTTTCAAAGAAGACGTTTTGACATTCGGATGTTGGCTGGATTCCATTTAGCTGCAGTTTGCTATTTTAAAGAGCTGGCACAAAAAGTGCTTGAAACACTGTCCTTTGTATTTGCTTCCTTGCTTTGAATAAAACTGTATTCCAAACAGCTAGAATGCAGCATTTTAATGTCAATTAGAGTTCAATTTTGTTTGAACATACATAACAAACTTGAGAGACTATAATTTGTGTAATGGATGTCGTATATACAGAATTCTGGTGTGGGATAACTGCAGTGTAGAGTCTTTATGGTGCCACTGTGCAGCACATTTCATTGTTTCCCCATAACAGGCAGTGTCAGTGAGCAGACACCCTCTTTACATGGAGTCATAATGAAGGTCAATCTGTGGTCGTCATTCTCTGGAGCCTCAACAGGGAGCTACTATTTGTCCCCGACATGTCACACACACACACACACACACACACACAAGGAAAACACACACCTACTGCACATAGCTATATATACTCCCAAACACATACAATTATGCAAGTACACACATGCAAAAGTATGCAGATGGAACAAACAATGATGCGTGCATGCAGACACATACACATTCCCAGTGACACAAAGCCAGCTCAGCACAGCTGTGGCTCGGCTTGATGTGATCATTGCCATTCAGGCAGAAGAGGTCGTTTCCCAGCATCACTCATGGGTACAACCTTTGATCTCATCTCTCTTTCTGTGTTTGTCTCTTTCTCTTTCTCTGCCTCTCTTTCTCTTTCTGCCTTTCCAGGAGCTTCTGTTAGTGCCTCAATCAGGATCCCATAATGGCTAAATGTAGAGTTCAATACGTTAAAGCCAAACCCTTTTTAAAGTCCAAATATATTCAGAACTAGTGAGTGAAATGGTTTTTAATTTTTGAATTATTGAAAGAGAATTAAAAGGTCTTTTGATATATATCAAAATGCTTTGTTAGCCTTAAAGCCTCCGAGTGCACTCTAAAAAGTTCAACTTCAAATTTGTTGTACTAACACCTTTTTTAAAATTGAGTCAACAAATCCCTCTGAAAAAAGTTGAGCTAACTCAAAATGAGTGCAGTCCACTGAAACTTTTAAGTCGAGAAAACTTAGCATAGTGCTTTGGGCATCTGCTGAGGTAACTAAGGCCACTGTGCATGGGTAGATGTTAGTAAATATATACATGTACATATATGTATGTATGTGTGTATATATATACTACTTTAATTATATATTTTAAATAATAAAATAAAATAAATAAAACATTATTTTCTTTAGCCCCTGTTAAGATACTTTGATTTTTGATATCATTATGTTTAGATACCTTATTTTTTTAGATTTAATTTGATTGACATTTACTTTTTATACCTGGATGTTCATGATCTGCTGAATGTCTGCTGTCAATGTTCAATGAAGAGAGAGAGAGGAGAACAAAACCCGTCAACCACCGTAAAACAAGAAGAAGAAGAAGAAGAAGGAGGAGGAGGGGGAGGAAAAAAAACCCAAAAAAAACCACAGAAACGTCGCTACACCAGTGCCTTCGGTTAGAGATAGCAATTCCGTGCCGGTCCACGCCAGCTCAAGTGTTGCTGCAGCATGCCGTCTACCTCGAGCACAAATTAACAAGGTAAGGCTGTGTATGTTCTGGAGTGTGTTAGCTAACGGGCTAGTCAGCGAACCTGTTAGTTTTTTAAATGCAAAAGTTAACATTAAGAAGTTTACAACGTGACGGACCCCACCCTATTTTTCACGTGTTCATAATGTCATGTGTAATTTAACGATAACGACCCGCGGCTTGCGGTTTTGCATGGTCGAGTGAATTTGCACATATTAAAGTTAACGTCTGTACTAGCTAAAGCTAACGTTACTACGTTGTATGCACGTGCACAACGTTATAGCGCCGTATGCTACATTGGTTGGTTTTTGTTAGCTAGCTAACATGTTGCTGCAAAGTGCTTCGCCGTTCGTTAGTGTTGGTGGCGTTGAAACTCGAGGGCTGATAGTTTAAGTTACCCGCGCGCGTGTACCATTAAGGTGCACTAGATACAGTCCAGGTAATGAAGTAGACTTAAAGCAGCACGCCGTTCTTTTGTGCACCCCATCTATTTGTGTTACTCGTAAGACTCCTTGACCTATGCTTTTCCTTCCCTGATGATACAAAACAAATAATGCATAAATGCTCATTTGAAATACTCAGCAAAAGGAGGGATGAAGGGTCAGTTGCTTTTCGTGGTCACCCCCTTCCTTCCATCACTCATAGTATTGTTTGTCATTATGATAAAACCATTTTAATGACTTGCAAATAGCTCCTTTACACACTTATGGTAAACATAGTTAGAGGTTAGTGAAATCATCTTTTAAATTCTCAGTTCTCAGTGTACATTTAATAAATCATGGCAAACTGCTTTTCTGTTTTAGTAAAAAATGTACCATTACTATTTTTTATTATTGGCCATCTTTGAGCAACTTTGAAAATAAGGGGATGTGAAGCTGTTAGATTTGCATGGAGTTTTGACAACTATGCACATTGTTAACATGTTCTTATCTTTCCTTCATAGGATTTGGATGCAAGTTTTTCCACCCCAGTCAAGATGTCCTCTGAAAGCATTACAGACATTACCAGGCGTGATTCTAACCACTCCCGTGCCTGTCTACAGACTGCACCTGAACTTTCAAGACAACTGGTGCGTTAAAATCCCACCTTTCAAGAGTACATAAGTAAACCTAAAGTGCAGGTCACATTTTGTTGTGAATTGTGTGACTGTAAGGTCCTCTGTGTGCCAGAAAAATGCATAGGCCATCTCAGGGCTAATTTGAAGCAGCATGTGACTGTTTGTTGTCTATTCAAAAACTGTGAATTTACAAGTAATGTCCTTCAGTAGTCATGTAAGCCGGAAGTACAAATCTTACAGTGTTAATGATTTTAGATAATCTGTAATATCTCCAACAACTCCAACTGATCTACCAGAAGCAGATGAAGAATTGCCTGCAGAGTGCAATGATCCACAGGCTACTGTTGGTTGTTCTGAAATAGAAAGCAGCATGTACCTAATGCCTTTGGACAATTATACAATTGAACATAAACTTGCATCATTGTTTCTTTACATGCAAACTGTTTTGTGCAGAGTTCTACAGAATTACCCGAGTGGACCTGAAGAGGATCTTCCTGTCATCATTGGATGCACACTCACCGCAGCTTATTAAGCTGTACAGATCACGCCGCGGAACACTTGCAAAGGACATGAGGATCCTTCTAGACAACTTTGATGAACAGGTAATCAATAAGTAGGAAGTGCATGTGGTATAGCAGGGGTCCTCAATTAGATTTGAACTGGGACCAAAAACTGGGTGACAGATGAGGGGCATTTTCACAATTATTTAGTCCGACACAAGACATCAATTATAAAACGGACAACTATGCAAACCATAACATTAGAGCAGAGCATTTACCATCAGATCACCCTTTAATATTCCAGTTTGTCTAACAAAATAAATATGAATACACGTTAATGTTCACAGGTGTATTGTTTGACTTAATTGACATTTCAAATTGGTGATTTCGGAGATGAAAAGCAAGAGAGCATTATTGTGTTTTCACCCTTAAGCTATGTCCAAAAACATGATGCCCATATATACAGTGGTAAAATATGGGGTCATTTAGTTAGTGAATACAGCCGACCTGAAATGCATGCTACAATGCTGGAAGCATTTTGCCAAATGCCTTTGTCTTCTATAGTTTGCATTGAATTTTTTGAATTATAATTATTATAAATGTATACATTTTTAATCTTCATTTTGTATCTTTCAAACAACTGATGTGCTTGCCCGCAGAAAGTCTACAGCTCTATGGGGTCTACCGTTCTTTGATGGAGAAGCCGGACGGCTTTCTGAAGAAATATCTGGTAAGACTAATGTGTCAATGTCATTAAGGTTGCACATTGAGCAAGAAAACACAAATGCAAACTTTCATCAAACCCTCATTTCTACTTCACTGTTACTTTGTTATTCCACCTAAATAGTTTAATAAGTGTAACTTTACAGTTTTTAACATTTAATTTCATGTGATATCGCCAATACTGGCAATATTACTGTAGCATCAAGGTTACATGCGAGTGTGGTGCCTGCATCACATGCATTTTGTAACAGCAATTCTCCTTCAAATTTACTGGTAACATTTATAATTCCAAGCCCAAATTAGTCATGGGTTTTGAGACCTCGTATACAGTGCATTCAGAAAGTATTTAGACCTGTTGAAGATTTGTCTGACTTAAAAATGATGCATGTACATATTTTGCAGTATTTTTAATTGTAAAGTCATTCTCTGTCAGTGCATTTTCAAAGTCAAAATACCTTTTTGGTTAGCTAATCTTTTTAAGAAAATAAAACTAAAAAAGCCCCTACACACCATTAGCACCCTTTGCTGCTACATGTCTTTAGGGTAAGAATCTGGCAGATTTGGAGTGATTTTGTCCATTGTTTAATGGCAGATTTGCTCCAGTTCCTTCAGGGTTTTGTCACTTATTGAATCGAAGGAAGCCTGTACAGTGAGAGCAAATGTTTCCCTGTATTCTGCTCTATTTATTTATTTAATGACAAGACACGACATTCAGAGTATGAATATTTAAATATTCAAATACTATAATACAAATGTGTAGGGGGTGAATATGGTATGAAAGTGGTATATTTTAGTTTTTAAAATCTGCAGAAAATTTACAAACCAAAAATGTATTTTGACTTTTCAAATGTATTGTTACAGAATGGGAAGGGAAAAAAAGAGAACTTTAAAGAGGGGGTAAATATTTATGAAAGTCTCCATATGCTTGTTTTTCTTTAAAATACAGACCCGGAGGAATTTTGTGTCAAGGGAGTTGAACTTGCAATACTCAGTTGTTGAAGATGGCGTTGGGACGGTCCGCTCAAGTCGAACAACAATAAGCATCGCCCTGGTTATTGAGGAACGGATTGTCCTGGAGGATGTATGCGACTTCCCAACCGCATTTGCCCCTTTGTTTGGGCTCATCCAGGCTCTTAACCTGGACTATCCGAAGGACTTACGGTACACATTTTTGAAGTAATTCAAAAGGTGTTCATGAACCTTGGTACCCAGTGCTCTACCTGGGTTCAGGCCTTAAAGAACAGTTTGCTGAAGTAGCCTGCCATATCTAAACCACGCCTATGGTCTTGGCTGGATTTTCATGAGGGACTGAAATGTCACCAACTTGACCAAATGCCGATGGTATGAGTTGACCAAATTGGTCAACACCCTTAAGTATTAGATGTTTAACAAGTTTATTATTTGCCTTACTACTTTGTATATTACAGCTGAACTATCCACTGCTGGTCCTGCACTTTAGGTGTATTATAATTTAATATTAATTTTAGTTTATTGTTGTTACTGCCACATAGCGCCATGCAGACACATATTTGCATTTATTTTTGTTTTGACCGAGTATTAGGAGGGAACTTTAGTCGGTGTCTTTGGGTTTAAAATGGTGTGAAGTGGAGATTTAAGGATGTTGACCCCCTGCTGTCTACTATTCAAGTGTTGAAATTGAAAGACAATATTGTTTTACAAGCAAATAACTTATTGTTATTAAACATTTTGTGTTTTAAGATGTTTTTCTTTTCTTTAACAGTGTACGTTTCTAATTAATTAAAAATGAAGGCTGTAAAAAAAAAAGAAAAAAAGTTGAGTATACTTAAAAAGGTTAAGCAACCAGCTGCACAGCTTTTTTGAGTATACTCAACACAAAATGGGCAGTGCAAGGACGCAGACACAATGTACAAAAGCTCTCGCTTGCACCTGTAGCCTATGCTGCACACTTAATAGGAAGCAATAGGAAGAAAAGGAAAACCTGTTACTCTGACTTTTGAGGATTTGGGCATTATTCCAACATGGTCCACTGCTGGCCTTAATGTCTCACTGCTGGCCTTATGTCTAGTCGCACTAGGGTCAATATTGTCAGCTATTATTTTTTTATTTAGTCCTGTGTCAAATGTCCTTGTTTTTATCGTATTTGGTCAACCTCATCTTGTTTTTTCTGTCAAGCTTTACTTGACTTATAGTCTGGGCATTTAAGTCTTCTCTTCACATCACATTATATTTTATATTTCAGTCAATTTTGTCTAGATAAAATGTCCCATGGCTTCTTTAGGAGGATGAATTGGCAACAATTGAATATACTATTCATAACTATATTTTAATCAGTGTATAATCACCTAAAAACTAAGGATCGTAGTGTTTTCGTTAGCTTAGAAAAAGCCATTTATATCTACATGGAGTTGGTCGACTTCCATGGAATCTGCTATCGAGCACCGTCATGTTTCTACAGCAGCCCAGAATGGACACTGGCTTTGGCGAGAGCCATTCATGTTTAACGTCATCTGAAGGTAGTGATGCATCCAAAACCCGGTATTAAACAGGCCCCGTTGCTAAATTAACGGAATATTAATAAACCCCGACGTTACTGGAGTTTTCTTTTTACTTTTGAATGTTTTGATGTAATTTATTATCACGCTGCAGTGCGCATCTCAGCTCTCCTTGTCGGGCTGACCTCCAACTACACACACACAAAGCGCTGGTCGGATGAAATCTCTATACAAGAACAGTCTATTTACCATTTACTATTTACACATAGACACAAACACACACACACAGACACATTCACATATTCAAAGCGTGAGCATTTATGCCACTGTGGTGAAGGGAACCAGGTGAAGTGAAGGATACTTGAGCTTATTACTGTACGTGCAATAAAATATTTGCAAGCCAATACTTTATTAATAATAATTCTGTGAACTTGTAAACGAAAGTGAAACCTAATGCAATCAGTCATCGCCGTTATACAGTATTTACAAGCACAGCACGCACGATCGGCCAAAAGCTTTTAAACTTCTCTGCTGGCTGAGACAATGCAGCCTGGAGGACAGAAGACAGGAGGAGAGAAGACAGGAGGACAGGGGAAAGAAGGACATATGACAGGAGGACAGATGACAGGAGAACAGGACAGAGGACACGAGGACAGGAGAACATGACAGAGGACAGGAGGACAGAGGACAGGAGGATAGAAGACAGAGGACAGAAGACAGAGGATAGAGGACAAAGATAGGAGGAATGACTGTTCTTCATTCTTTATAAACTTCACTAAGAAGTGTTATTTATTTTGTTAACATTTTACATTTGTTTCCAGTGAGATATTAATGACTTTATATATTGACTTTGCTGACGTAAACATTAGCTGTTGCTGCTCTATAAACAATATTTAGATATATTTTAAATATTAATTCTAATTCTGTTCTGAATTTATTTGTTCAAATTCTAGTTATGTTTTCAAAAGCAATTATTTGGTCATGAATAAGAGCAGAGATTGATAAGAGTAGCTTCTAATTGTATTAAAATCCTAAAGATAGCTATCCCTACCTGTAGGCCACTGTAGTTCTCCAGCACGCTTGGAAAGGGAGGTATGAGCAGAGGGGTATTTTTATGTTTGCAATCTGCAACACACCATTAGATGCCACTAAATCTTACACACTTGGCCTTTAAGTGAATGACTATGTTCATTGTGTGCTGCCGTTATAGTCAACAGAGTGTTCGTTTCATGATATTGGTGCAGTCTGGTCATGATCGCAAAAAAAAAGTAGTTGACTCATATAGTCTTCATTAACAAAATTAACATTGAATCGCACTGGATAAATATCTTAAATTTTACGACATTACATTTTAGGAGCGGATTTGTTTACAAGTGAAACTAGATACAAACTACAAAAGTGCACTGAGTAGAGAGTAGATCTCCTCCAGGTCTCTCTGCAACCACTACTGCTGTGTTGTGTGATTGAATGAATACAAACTACAACTGACTAACCCCCAGTCTAGACACCAATGGGATGTAAGGCGTTGTAGAACACACTTCATCTAAACTCAAACAAATGGCAATGAATAAATTCATCCTATAAGACACGTCATACAATCTTGCCAGAAACAAAATTAATAATACATTTTATTTCTATAGCCCTTTAAAAGGTACTCAAAGGCACTCTACTCAGTGCACTTTTCTAGTTTGTATCTTCTGTAAAAAACAGAAACAATAATAATATAAACAAGGCAAATAGATTGACATAAACAGTAAGAAACAAAACAAAAACATACATAGCATCACAGGCTATCAGTTTTTAAGTGCAGTTTTGAAAGTGGCGAGTGACGGAGAATGTCTGAAGTGCTTGGACAGAGTAGGGGGGGTAAGGAGGTTGGCGTCGACACCTGAGGTTGCGGGTGTGAGTGTGTCGGGTGCAGGAGGTCTGAAAGCTATGAAGGGTTTTGATATGAGGAGAATTGAAGGGGCCAGTTTGTTGTAGATGGTCTCAGTTTTGTGTTGTTTCAGTGTTGGGATCTATCAGGAGCGTGTTTGGTTGTCAGTAAATATGAAAACTAAACTATTAACATCAATAAGCTTATTAACAATTACTAATAATAACAGGGCACCACCCTGAGAACAAGGACCAATAACCAAACTATAAATTGGTAGCTACGTACGTGACCACGTGGACCTATGCACGATGTGGGTTGAGACAATAGACCATGTTCACCCATGTGTCTGAGATGGTTAGCTATATCAGGATGTGTGTATAACTATGTGTGTGTGGTTAGTCGAAAGAGGGAGAGAGAAAGAAAAGGAAAAACAGAACTCTAAGCAAGACACTTAACTCGGCGATCGGATTCGAATCCGGCCAGCCATGGCTCTAATGTTTATACAGTGATAGTTACAGTTCTGAATCCGACTCACAGGGCCGATTTAAAGAAGGGAAAAAAACGCTGAACAAAACAAAATAATCCCCAAAACAAAGCAGATCTTTATCACCGCCGTGATATAAGAAAATTGCTTTCCTATCATTCCAGAACCCGGCCGGCGAATCGAGGTTCGGCCCGCCGTGGTTCTGGTCTTTCAAGTGAGAAGATCACAATCCCCTACTCCCACAGTGACTGATCTGATGCAACACGGATACAGCAGCAGAAAATACACAGTATAGCTGGACTCAGCGGTCTGCCTACACAATAACACGTTATAAACACTACAGTAACTTAAACAAAACAAGCTAAGGGAATAACACACTAAATGACCTAACTAAGCCCAGACACCAGTTAAACTCTATGAGATGATTTCTTTGATCGGAGGTGTGGCACATTCCTTGGCTCTGGGTGCCTTATCTTACGAGGATCAGGCCTTCTGTTGAACAACAGGCCAGAGCCTTTTCCTTTGTTAAGGGCACATGGTGAGAGCCTTGTCATCAGCAGCCAATGACAGAACTTACTGCTCTGTATATAATGCAGTCAATTGTTTTCTCTGAAGTGAGCAGTGAATTGAGATCTTAGACCAACAAATCATTGTAAAGTTGCATCATAAATGAATGTAATTTTCACACCTACAACATGCCACACATTGCATTGTGAGCAAAAAGTAGTGTCCACTTTTCAGGGCCTAATGTAGTACATATATGTCATTCCCACACTAAAAGGACTAAAAATGCCAATAACAGTACACAGCCAACATTCTACCAACTGGTAGAAACACAGACTGGGCACCATTATAAAACCACATAATACAAAATATACAGTACATCGCTTCTATTTTAACCGGCGCAGCTTTTCCAGCATTTACGGCACTTGTTCAGCGGTGCAGGAAACACATCAACCAATGTGTTGTAAATCACATGACGTGATGCAGCTCAGCCAATCAAATATGAGTTTCCTGACTCAAGTGCGATGTACACGCACCGTGACACACGGGGGAGAGACGAGGAAAGATATAGCAGAGCAGGCAACATATTACGTTAGTCAGAGAAGGTATTTCACATGTCGATCTCCAAATAGAGAAAAGTGTTCTGAGAGACCAGTCTTTAACCAAAGATGGACCGTCTCGCATAGGGGAATTCTTCCCATAGGCAGTTTAAAAACAGTACGTCTCTTTTGGAGCAAACGTACCCACTCACATCTGAAATGAAGACGCAGAAAGTAAACCTAAGAACCCAAAATGATAAGAATCCTGACACATTAATTAACTGTCCAACAATGATGTTAACAGAGAGGAGTAGAGCTGAAACAAGTGGTTTAATAACCACAAGTAAAGTCTCTGCACTTATTAGAAGATGAGAAAAATATATAATCGTGGCTTTTTTGATTGACATCACTTCACACCGGAATGAACTGAATTTAACGCTGCAGGACAATTCAGTGAAATACATTTTTCTAAAATGAATTACTTTATTTTAAGATGCACATTTTTCAAAGCTTTCTGTTACGTCAGTTATTCTTTAATCCAGCCATTATTTTACTTGAAATGAGAAGAACATTTATTTATGTATTTCTATGTATTATTTATAATCCATCCAGTTCAATTTGATAACTGAGAATAATAATGGTTAAATTATAGCTGCAAGCAGCATTGATCGGGCCCTCGCAAACTTCACGCAAGTGGAGGGTACTGGCAGGACTCTGGTTGACGCGGCCATGCATTTCTGTGACCATCATACACAGTTTACATGTGAATACGGCCCTGGGCATATGGATGATGCAGAGATAGAGAGCCTGGAGCGCTCATTAGTATCCTACAAACCATAACACATGAAAGCTTTTTACTTTCAGTGTCAGCTACTGTTTGTTTTCTAATTCTTATCAATGTCCACAATGTTGCTCAATCCATCTGCTGTGTTGTTCTACAGCTCGAGAGATACACTAAAGCACATGGAAACATCTCCCAGGAGAACTCTGGGTAATGAGCTGGAAAACTGCCTTGATAATGTTGACGGTCACTCGCCACCCTGATGTGAATGTGTCAGGCTGGATAAATAGTGTATGCACTGCAGCCTCAGTTTTGTGGATGCTGACCCTTTCACGTGTTTATACCTCACTGAGGCTGTTTGTATGCAAACTTACAGTCAGAGAGTCGTGAGAGGCAGAGAGAGAGCTGACAGAAAGGAGGGTTCTTTCACTTCCTTTTTATCTTGATGCCTGTGTTGTGTAATGAAGTGAAAAATTCACCAATAACAAACTAAAAGAAATGAGCAAGAATACCCATCTGAGGTACATCTTGTAACAATGTTTAATCTTCAAATGGAGACAGAGAATGTTTTTCAAAAAACACCTCTTGGTTTTTATTAGCAGGAGGGTGTTTGAAGAAAAAGAGAAACAAGCAGAATATTCCGAAAATATTCTCAGCCCAATGATCTAAATCAGAAATTGAAAATGCAAGACTCTGAAATGGATTTTCCTCAACAACAAAGATAAGGCCAACCTGGGAAACGAGCTTTGCTGGGGGTTGGGAGACAGAGCAGATATCAGAGAGAAATGGAGGGATAGTTGAAAGGCCTGTCAGAGATAAAGGGAAGAATGCACATCAGTACGACAGCCTATTTGGAAAGTCTACGCTCTATTATTGCCTCCATGTTCCTCTCACTTCCATGGGAAAGAGCATGCGGTGAGAAACCGGGCTGGACAAGGTTGAAGCACTTGTTTTATTTCTCCTCTCTGCTCTGGGAAAGCATTGCTATGAGAGAATGGTCTTATATTGGCAGCTGTGACCCACTTCTACACATTCATACTCGAGCTACGATAGCACACTCACACACATACACACGCCCACACGCATCAGTGAAGAGGAAAACAGGCATCTGGAAAAGTCGTCCTTTGGGAGGCATTGACATGATTTGCGG